TCCCCCCCCCCCCCCCTCTTCAAGACAAAACAAGTGGTCCGCCACTTGATTTTTGGTACCTTTTCTATCTTTGATTTTCATGTCAAACTCTTGAAGGATAAGGATCCATCTTCGCAACCTCGATTTGGACTCTTTATTTGACAATAAATAGCGAATTGCTGCATATGATCCGAATGTACCACCACTTTTGAACCAATAAGATAAGAACAAAACTTTTCAAAAGTATACACAATGGCAAGCAGTTCTTTCTCTCTGATGGTATAGTTCATTTGTACGGCAGCATTCATAGTCTTGCTTGCATAATGAATTGGGTGAAAAAGCTTGCCCACTTTTTGGCCTAACACCGCACCCATAGCCACATCACTTGCATCACACATAAGCTCAAATGGCAACTTCCAATTGGGAGCTTTAATGATGGGGGAGGATGTCAAAAGCTTCTTGAACTCCTCAAAAGAAACCATGCAAGCATCATCAAAATATAATTTTCCTCCTTCTCCAATAGCTTGCATAACGGGTTCACCACATTTGCAAAATCTTTGATACATCTGTGGAAGAATCCCGCACGACCCCAGAAACTTCTTTACCTCTCATGGTAATTGGAGGAGACAATCTAGAAATAACATCAATCGTTGCCGGATCAACTTTGATTCCCCTTTGAGACACTTTGTTCCCAAGTACAATACCTTTCTATACCATGAAATGACATTTTTCCCAATTCAACACAAGGTTTGTTGCTTCACACCTCTTCAAGACGCAATCCAAATTGGCCAAATATTCATCAAAATAATATCCTACAACGAAGAAATCATCCATGAATACCTCTAGAATATCTTCAATCATATCGGTAAAAATGGCCAACATACACCCTTGGAAAGTTATGGGTGCATTGCAAAGACCCAATGGCATCCCGTTTGAAAGCAAAAGTGTCATATGGACATATGAAAGTAGTATTTTCTTGATCCTTCGGGGATATTTGAATTTGATTGTATCCCAAATAACCATCGAGAAAGCAATAGAAAGATCGGCCCAGCAAACGATCCAACATTTAATCCATAAAAGAAATTGGAAAGTGGTCCTTCCTTGTCGACATAACTTCCTATAATCCATACTAACCCATCATCCGGTGACAGACCCTGTTGGAATCAACTCATCTTTGTCATTTAGAACCACAATCATTCCTTCTTTCTTGGGTACATATTGTATTGGGCTCACCTAATCCAAGATTGGATAAACTACCATGGATTCTAACCATTTGATTATCTATTTTTTTACCACTTCTTGCATAGGAGGTTTAAGTCTCCTTTGGTGTTCTACACTTGGCTCAAAACCATCATCCAATTTGATTTTGTGCATGTAAGAAGATGGGCTAATTCCTCGCATATCCGTAATAGACTATCCCAATGCCAACTTATGATTTCTAAGAACATTGAGTGTTTGAGATATCTGCACACTTGAAAATGAAGATAAGATAATAATGGGTAAGGACTCATTAGTGCCGAGAAATTCATACCATTAATGTGAAGGCAAAAGATTCAACCCAAGCTTCAATGGCTCAATAATCGATGATTTAGTAGGCTGTGTGGCTCAGTTCTCCAAATCAAGAGACAACTTTACGGGCTTGTATGAATATGAGTCAAGCCCCTCCAAATCCATCTGGGTTTCAACATAACCCTCACTAGATTAATTTTTAGAATTGCGGAGAACCGCTTGGAGGGATCCACCCAAGCAAATATCTTCTGTGTCATCAACCACCAATTCATCAATCACATCAATTATTATGGATAATACGCCATAATCATGTGGGTGTTTCATTGAATTTTGGATATGGAAGATTACTTTTTCATCATTTAATCTAAACTTGAGCTCCCGCGTTTCAACATCACATATAGCTCTCTTGGTTGCCAAGAAAGGTCTCCCAAGAATGATTGGGATTTCAATATCTACCTCACAATCCAAAATAACAAAGTCGGCTGGAAAGTAAAAACGATCCACCTTGACAATAATATCTTCAATGATTCTCAATGGTTTCTTCAGTGTGCGATCCACCATTAACAACTTCATGGTTGTTGGTCTAGGATCCCCCAAACCTAAACTTTTGAACACGACATAGGGCAATAAATTGATACTTTCCCTTAAATCACACAAAGCTTTTGTAAAACTTGCCAACCTAATAGTGCAAGGAGTAGTGAATTCCCTTGGATTCTCCATTTTCTTAACTTCTCCAGTTTGTAAGATAATTGCACTACATTGGAGAGTGATCTTGACAATTTCAAAATTCATGTTCTTATTTTTAGTTACCAAGTCCTTCATGAAATTAGCATAACCCGACATCTTCTCAAGAGCTTCCACAAAAGGCACCGTGATGGTAATTTGATTCAACATATCATAGAACTTTTTCAATTGGCCAAATTGTTGCTGCTTAGCAAACCTTTGAGAAAAAGAAGGAGGTGGCCTTGGTATTGGCTTATGTTATCGAAGAGTTTCCTTGACCGGTTCCTTCTCCTTCAAAGGAGTTTCATTAGCATGAAAAAAATTAATAGGATCTTAGTGCACCTTTTCAACTTCATCGAATTTTTCTATCAACTCATCAACAATAGGAAGCTTGTCACCCGGGTCAGATTCAACTACCTTGGGTTGTGCATCAACTGTATGAGGAACCTCCTCACAGTCATCATCTTCAATCACACTGGTTCTTTTATTACCACTCATTTCGGTGACAACAAAAACATGTTATAAACCTTCATCTTCTTTTGGATTTGAAATTGTATCGCTTGGTAGAAATCTATGGAGTCCCACATTCAGTTGAGCGGAAATTTGATCCAATTGGGTCTCAATTTATTTTATTGTGGTGGTATGAGAGCTCACCACTCAATTTGTTTCCCTTATTTCTTTATCAGATTGCTCTTGATTCTTAATCATTCTTTCCATCAATCCCCTTAGTTCAAAGTTTCCCAATGATTGGCCTTGATTGTTGTATGGAGATGGTTGGTAAGATTTTTGTTGATATTGTTGGGAATAAGTCCTGCTTCGATTGCCTTGATTACCACCATTCCACCTTTGGTTGCCTTGATTGCCACCATTACCTGCCTTTGTTGCCTTGATTGCCACCATTCCAACCTTGGTTACCTTAATTGGTCCAATTAAAATTTCCTCTTTGCCATTGATTTCCTTGCTCCAGGTTGTTGGATCGTTAACCTCCTTGATAGTTACCCATTTATTGAGCTTCCTCTCTTTGTACTTGGTAACATTGATTTTGGAAGTCACCATCTTGATTAGGACCTTGGGAAAAATAAATGCCTTCTTGACCTTGATATTGATTTTCCATACCCATAGAATTACAACTCGAACCTTGAACATTTTCCATGGCATTGACTTGCCTTGGAAGTTAGTTCTTTGCTAGCAACTTAAGAGTGGTTGTTACTTCCGCAATTTGTTGACCTTGAGATTGCATTTCCTTGATCAATTGCATTATGGAAGGATTTTCATGGGGAACACCATCTCGAGAAGGTCACGTAGATGAACTCTCCGCCATTTCATCTAAAATATCATTTTCCTCTTAGTATGTACTATTCGTGATACTTCCACCGGCCAATTGGTTCAAATAGAATTGATAGGAAGTATTGAGCCCAATGTAAGATATTTGAAGAATCATCTTCTCTGTCATATCATTATTTGGGCACTCCTTCACCATTCTCTGATATCTTTCCCATATCTCATGTAGAGCTTCATGAGGATATTGCCAAAACTTTAATATCTCATTTATCAATTGTACCATCCGGCCTGGTGAAAAATACTTATTTGAAAACTTTGCCACCAACTAATCCCATGCATAAATAGATTGGCAAGGCAAAGCTTCCAACCAATCTAGAGCATCATCTCTCAAGAAAAATGGAAATAACCTCAATCGTATGGCCTCATCCGTGACATTTGGTTGCTTGTTCATATGACAAGCATCAATAAAATACTTGAGATGTTTATTGGCATTTTGAGTGTTTTCTGTCATGAAATACCCTCTCTCCTTGAGCATGTTGATCATCACATTGGTGATTGAAAAGGTTTCCCCCTTATCCGTGGTGGCACAATGGCACTAGCATATCCTTCATTTTGTAAAGCCACAGGAGGAACTTGTTGATGAAGTAGGGCTTGTGGATTTCTTGGGTTAGGAGGATTCCGTGGACGACCTCTTCCACTACCACCTTGTTGAATTAGTTTCGCTCCATCCACAGGGTCCTCATTGTTAATAGGAACCAAAGGCAAATCATGAATTCTTTGACCTTCCATATTCAACCTTGCACCACAAACAAACAATCAAAGTAACACGAAGAAAAGTTAGGAAGACAAATAAACACACACTAACACGATAACACAAAACATTGTACTCCCCAGCAGCGGCATAAAAAATTGATCACGTCCAATCCTACACCTCAAATGAAATGTAGTACGGTCGTAGAAATAATAAACCCAACAAATGTTAGGGTCGATTCCTCAAGGAGTACGCGCGTGTCAAAATGTCAAGAGTGTGAGAATTTATAACTTTCCTAAGCTTATCTTCAAATAAAAAAGTGATTTGAGTAAATAAATATAAAACTAGATTGTTTTCTAAGCTAGGATTACCAAGAGTGCAAAAACAATATTTTGTTTTTCAATTAAAAGAGGGACCGTGGTTGTAGCCTCAATTTGGCATAACTAGTTCATGAACACAAGTAACTTGCTCAAATGCATAGGATTAATGAAAATGATCCAATTGATAATTACTTACAAGAACTTTTCAACTCTAGCAAGCTAATCCCAAAAGTTCTTCCAAACTCAAATGAAAATATAAAGACCCAAACGATAGACCCAAGTAGAAATTCCTCTATTCCTAGTTCGACTTCATTAGTAAATCATAATTATTTCCTTAATATACTTGATTCCTTGCTACTTGTTAAAAACCCAATCCAATTTTCACCCATCCGAGCAAGAAATGAATATATATGGCTAAATCTAGTGTTTGCAATCACCAAATTCACAAATAAGAATGTAAACAAGTAGATAATCACAACTCAAGTAATAATAAGCAAGATAAACTAGTATTCAATCACATAAAAGCCATAAGAGTCTACAACCCCAGCTAAGAGGTTTAGCTACTCATGCTAGAAAAAAAATAGAGACAATGGTCTAAAACCCCTCCAATCTATACCTGAAATCCCAACTACACTCTCTAACTTCATGAGTGTCCAATTACCCCCCTGAACATTTTAAAAGTGAAATATATACCCCTTAAAAAGTCATACCCAAATTCATGTTAAGTAGTGAGTACACTCACCTGCCACATAATTTTTTTAGTAAAAAAGTTATTATTTTTTGTCTTTATTTTATATTTTCCTTTCTCTTTTTTCTTTTGTTTTTAATCCTCTTTTGATTTTTCTTTGACACCAACTTTTTGTCCATTGATATGAAACCCAGAAGCACATTACCTTCTTCTTTCTTTCTTTTCTTTATAATTTTTTTTTCAAATAAATTTTTGTTGCCCGTTACACTATTTTATTAATTATCAAAATTAAATATTACAAATCTCAAAAAGCATTAAAAAATGTTTGACCCAGTCCATATGATCAACTCTATCTATTCCTCTGTAAGCTTTCCTAATTTTTGGATTTCTAAATTCCTCAACAATCCCAAGGTGTTTCCATTGTCGCCGGCACCTCCTCGCCAGCACCTTTAATGATGTTCGCAAGGTTTTATTTTATTTTCTTTTCATAATTTTAGTGAATTTTCATTCAAGTAATAATGATAATATCGTTGAATCGAATTTGATTCTGCCAACTGAAGAATTAGATGACAACATTGATAAGTTCGTGTGGTCAAGTAGTTTTCGAAAAGTGGGTCGCATATTGGAGTTGGATATGATGGCAAATTTAAAGTAAATTTGTGATTTTAAGTATAAAAAAATATTTTTGCTATTTTTAATCTCGTTGTCATGGTCATTGTCTACGAAAAGTATTTTTTAGCATTTTAGAAATTAATTTATCTGTCTCACTTTTAAATATTTCTTAATTTGCTATTACTCAAAATTCAATAACAACACGTACTATGATAGATCTGGAATAAAAAAGAAGGTGAAAATAGTGGTATGGCAATGGTAAACTTAGTATGTGAGAATGAAAAATTGAAGTTTATGATTAAAAGAATGAGAGTTGATTTCTTCTGGAAAGAAAGAGAGGAGAAAGATACGATTAGTGATAGCTGAATAATGAAATAAGTTTATGGCATTTTTCGAAGAAGTTTTGAAGAGAAAAAGAAAGAAGACAAAAAAAATTAAAAAGAAAAGAGAAATAGAAGTAAAAGATAACATAATTTTTTTTAAAATAAAAATTAGAAACATAATATGAAAAGGGGAAATTACTTGCAAATTTAAAGTTTTAACAAAAAATAAAGTGTCTCTCACTCTCTTTGAGAAAGTGAATACACTTTCTTTGCCACCTCAGCATATAGGGTGACAATAATTCCATTTTAAAATAGTTCAAGGGGGTAATAGGATCATCGCGAAGTATAGGTGTGTAGTTGGGAATCTGACTATAGGTTGAGGAGGCTTTTGGCCATTTTCTCAAAAAAATACAAGATGAAATGTAACAATAAACATAGTTAAAGATTAAACATATAAGAAAATGCATACTCTATAGTGAAAACCTCTTAATTCTTGCAAAGTTAACTAAAGATGCTCCTCCTAGACTTCCCATATCAAAAGTTGACCAAGAAAAATGACCTAATTCCTATTTATATAACTCCCAAAATCTAGACAAAGATGCCCTTCCACTGCCAATTTCGTAGAGCAAAATTATGGAGACATTCCAATTTTCGTCTCCCCATTTTCATTTCGTGGAGCCGAAATTTTCATGGAGTGAAATAGACTTGTTCCTTTTATCAGACTTAGCCAAATTCAAGCTCTCCTATACCCTCAGAAACGGCTCCACAAAAACTAAGCTTGGGCACGATTTTTGTGACTTCTCAATCTTTACTTTTCTCACTCTTTTGCTTCAACTTCCATCTTTTTTCATCATTCTTGATCAAATACTTGATTGCTTTACTTCTTTCGCTCCAAATCCTGAAATTCACCAATTTAAGTTAGTTTAGGTTATTAAATTATACTCAAAGACACTTAAAACTCAAGAAAAAGGTAATTAATATGTTGGTAATTTGCCAACTTATCAAGAATCATGTAGCTGCTCAACAATGGATGCACTCGCCTTTTGTTTCAACTTTAACATAGGGCAATGTCGTTCAAAGTGCCCCTTCTTGTGACAACCTCAACACTCTGCATTCTTCTTGGTCACACGAGACTTTGATCTGTACTTTGATTTTCTCCTTTCCTGTTGGGCAATGCGACCTTTCAAAAAGAGCCCACTAGCTTCGTCACCTTTGTCTCCTTCAAAATGCCTCAGCACATCACAAAGAGTTAAGTGATTGCCGCACTTGATCAATAGTGATAGGCTCATTGCTATATATCATTGAATTCTCAACATCACGATATTTTGAAGTTGATAAAATAACAAAGCACATGCAAGTGGTTCCTCATTCTTTTTAATTCTAGCAGTTTGTAAGTCCATCACAAGTTTATTGAACACATCTAGATGGTCCTGCAACAAAGTACCTGAATCCATCTTAAGTATGTGAAGACGTTGTTGTAACAACATCCTTGTTGTCACCGACCAATCTTGGTAAAGCCCTTT